ATGCTATTATGCAGTTGCCTCCTCCCAAAAATTGTAAAGAAATCAAAAAGTTCCTTGGGATGGCAGGTTACTACAGGCGGTTTTGTAAAAACTTTTCAGCTGTAGCTGAACCACTTACTGCCTTATTGAAAAAGGGTGTTGAGTTTGAATGGTCATCTAAATGTCATGAAGCTTTTTACTTTCTCGTATATACGAAGTATAGAGAAAGTATTGTAATCGTGCAAAAAAAAATCGAGATTTTTACAGATCTCGACGTTTTACACCTCACTGATACGGAAAAACATAATTTTGCAATCTTGTCCGTATGTCTGTGTGTGTGTGTGTGTCTGTGTGTCTGTGTGTCCGTGTGTAAACACGATAACTTGAGTACCGTTACAGCTAGGTTGATGAAATTTCATATATAAGTATTATATCAAAATCGTAGATCCGTATCAACTTTTGAGCGATTTCCGACAACCGGAAGTGGTACTTTTCCTACTTTGAATTTTTCAAAAGCCTAAAACTTGAGTACTATTTCAGATAGATAAATGAAATTTCACATGTAAGTAAAAGATCTAATTCTCTACCTTCTGTTAAATTTTGAGTAATTTCCGTTGACTGGAAGTAGTAATTTACGCTACTTACGATTTCTCAAAAAACTAATGTAAATTTTTAAAGTACTAATAATATTGCGCACTATTATACGCGTTTTTATTTGGCGTTCACTTGGTGTGCAATTAATCTGTCTACGAGATTTTATTCTATTTTTAAAACTTTAAGTATTTAAAATGGATTAAAAATCATGTCTATAGCCCGAGTTCCCATCCCCTGTTATTTTATATAAGAATATTCGAGAAAGTTTAGGGTAGATCACTCCCGGTTTATTTAACCATTAAGTCATTTTTATCTAATGCTCCTGTTATGGCTGAACCAGATTTCAGCAAGCCCTTTAAACTTGCCATTTATGCTAGCAATTTAGCCATTGGCTCAGTCTTATTTCAGGAAGACAACATGGGGATTGACCATCCAATCGCTTTTTTTCCAGGAAGTTAAATGAGAACCAAAGAAATTACTCCACTATTGAAAAAGAAGCTTTAGCTTTGGTTTTGTCCTTACAACATTTTGAAGTCTATGTCACTTCTTCAATCAATCCAGTCATGGTATTTTCTGACCATGATCCTCTTAAATTTACCTCTAAGTTAGGACAAAAGAATCACAGAATATTGAGATGGTGTTTATATTTCCAAAATTTTAATCTGGAAATTTCCCATATTAAGGGGACTGATAATGTTGTGGCTGACTGTTTGTCAAGGATGTAAAATTTTATTACCCACATTGATCAGGTGACATGTGTTGTGGTTAATTAAGACCGTATAACAAGTAGTTTGTTTGGGTGACACTCACTTGAATGTGAGTGGTCTGAGTTTTGAATTTTTTTCAACATTACAATCATGTTGAATATTTTGTTTATTTTCAGGTGAACCTTATTTAAAGGTGGTTTTTCATTATATGTAATCTTTTATGATAAAATGTCTCACATGACTCAGTTGATATTGTAGCTAGTCATTGAAATAAGGGAATTGCCCTGTCGGGTTTACCACTTTTAGTATCCACATGGAAATATTGTAATACCCCTTTCTGAGGGACTTTGATGTATTATTATTTTTTGAAAGGGCTACTCCCCTTTCAAGAATTGTAAAAGATTGAGTTACTTCCCTTTTATTTCCAGGGATGTTTTCACCTGGTATTAAGATTTTGGTTGGCTACATTTGTAGAACATTTTTTTTTATTTTATGCCAGATTGGTTCCTTATGTATGTTTTTGTGGAACCTATCTGCCACTTCCAAAAATGGAGGGGATGTGACCTACTTAGGTCTGGTAATGTTTATTTTTACTTTTGTTATAATACCATATATGGTCTGTGGTGCAATGACCGGTTTTTTCCGCTGTCTTACTAAGAGAGTCTTAGACTCAGAAATTTTCCATCAAAAGATGATTGATTGATTCAGACCAGATGACCACCCCAACCAATGGCCTTACGATTTGAAGGTGACCTTCCATGTTGCCTAAGTCTATAAATAGATTGCGCACAGGCGTCTCGAGGCAGTTCATTTTGACCAGACGTCGTTGAGAGACATAAGCCCTGTGTGTTGCCGTGTAGTACTAAGTTGTTTAAGTAGCATATTCTTACATTACTTGTGGTTAAGTAATTCTTTATGCTTATAGCAGTAATGTGTATACTGTGGTGATTTTTCTGAAGTGTTAAAAGCTGTGATAGTGTATCATATTATTTTTTCCCACGAATTGTAAATTGGGTTTTGTTCATTCTGTAAATCTACTTTATTCCTGTATAAATGTAAGCCCTGTTCGGGGGGGGGGGATACCTACAATCTACCCTTCTAGGCTTAACTAATCTGTCCGGTCAGTGCAACCGTGGTAGAACCCACAGTGGTTAAACCCTAACCTTAGTCTAAATAATAAGCTACTAAAATAAAACAAAAACTTTAACAGTTAATAAAAATTTATTTCATGGAACCAAAAGTTATTATAAAAAAGAACAGATAAAAACTGACAAAACAGAACCAAACGAAACAAACTTTTTACATCAAACAAAACACCCAATTTCGGACTTCGTCCTAGAAAAAGGAAAACAGATAAATTAATTACTTTACAAAGAAAAGTTATAAACAAAGCATTAACCACAGGCTGGCTGGATTACATCTCCACCGCCTGCAGGTAGATCACACAGAACATACTTTAACAATTAACTGGAACACTACCAGGACACTGAGCCCAAACTACTAGCTCAACACAGTTACCAGCCTAACAAAAGGCTAAGTAAAATAAAATCTATTAAAAACAAGTGTACCTTCACAGTGACTAGAACGAACCGAACACTCTCCTGGGGATCAACATGATCACCACAGGAAGCGAAAGGTCACTATAAGGATAACAATATTATAACCAAACCCGACAGTCCGGAACGAACCGTGACTGTGGGTCAGGTAACAACTCTACTACTTAACCCAACAGCCAGGAGTAAACCATAGCTGCGGGTCAAGTCTAAAAATACCTTTATCCCTGGCTTAACACCAGCCCAAGGGACACAATCAATAAAATGTGCGTATTACTTAACCCGACAGCCAGGAGTAAACCATAGCTGCGGGTCAAGTCTAAAATTACCTCTATCCCTGGCTTAACACCAGCCCAAGGGATACAATCAATAGAATACGTATACCACTTAACCCAACAGCCAGGAGTAAACCATAACTGTGGGCCAAGTATAAATAAGCAGTATCCTTGGCTCCACACAAGCCCAAGAGATACAACAAAGTAATAAAATAAATATAACATAATAAAAACTCAGAATCTGAGTCCACATGGCCTGACCACAATGGCGGTCAGAAGACAACCACAAAAAATCCTATGGCCAGTAACCAAAATAAACAGCATAGCAAAATAAATAGACATAGCAAAGAAATAAACTTATTTCTAACTTACCAGGACTAAGACGAACACAAACACAAAATAAATACGACTGGATGGTGCGAATTTGCTATTCTTTTCACTGGATGACCAGAGAGACTGCCTGCTCTCTTCACCGCGGCTTTCCACACAAAAGACAGAGTTGAACAAGCCGGAAACCGACTTCCACACACCTCACACACTACACGTAAACAAATAGTCCCTAATACACGGATAACAAACCAAACACGACGAAACATGCAACAGAATATTATAAAAAGACACTTAATATAAACAATGACAACAATATAAACGAAATATATATAAACTAGCTATAACCATGGACATAAACAGTGAGACAGCGGCGCCATAATACGGGACTACACAACTAAAACGACAAACAATTTACGACATGAAACGAAACGATACATTCGCCTTCTAAGTTACAAATAATAAAAATACACTCCAGCCGCTCACATAAATCTAGTGTTCTGCCACGACTTTGTACACTCATTACAAGTTATATGAAGATTAAAGGTTGGCATCAGTAGTTTCTCTCGTGTTTCCCCTAGACATCCATTACGAGTCCTAGCGAACTAGTGTGTTAACTTTCTTTTATTTAGGCTTGTCGCCATCTGCGTATAATCAGTTAAACGAATCCGGGAGCGTTCGCCATCTATCTGGCTGATAGATTGGTGTCCGTTACACACTCACGCTTTATTCATAATGTTCTAAAATATATATATATGTACTCTTACTTCATTTGCTGTCATAGTCAAAACATCTTTTAATTTTTATTACTTTATTCTGGATGGAATACACAAAGCGAGAACGGCGTAAAGAAGCTGGAATTCCGAGGATGTGGTGCTAAACAGGAAATTCCTATGAACTAAATCATGACAGTAACTCATCACATTTACTTCTAAATTGTGCAGTTATAGAGCATTTCATCATTTATAATACTGTTTGATCCACACCAAACGCAAGAACATTTCTTCACAGACATCAACCTCGCTTTAAAAGGTCAACTACACCAGACGGATAGGTTTGAGAAACTAGGAGCAAGAAAAGTGAGCGGCGGATGTTGGTGTTTAAGTTGTTGAGGGGAAGGTTGTTGTGGTGGAGGTTGCTGTGGTGAAGGCTGTTGTGGTGAAGGTTGTTGGGGTCAAGGTTGTTGTGGTGAAGGTTTTTGGGGTCAAGGTTGTTGTTGTGGAGGTTGTTGGGGTCAAGGTTGTTGTGTTGAAGGTTGTTGGGGTCAAGGTTGTTGGGGTCAAGGTTGTTGTGGTGAAGGTTGTTGGGGTCAAGGTTGTTGTGGTGGAGGTTGTTGGGGTCAAGGCTGTTGTGGTGGAGGTTGTTGGGGTGACACTTATTTCTGTTGAAGTATTGTTTGGAATTGCGGTATACAGGACAACGTGGGAAATCAATAGATGCATTTGTGTTTAAGCATGTCACATTAAAAATGAAAGTAGTAAAAATTAATTGAAGGGTTATATGTAAAAACTAAAATCTTCTTTTAAATTTAATTTTTTAAATTTTTATTTATTTTTAATAGCCAACTGCGTAAATGTGATAATCATAATAAAATACACAAGATAATGTGTAAATAGTGATGTATACACGTAAAATGTTATAATAGAACTAGCTGGTCTTCGTTGAGATGGAATTACATCAAGGTAGCTGATTGTGCAGAAGGGTTTTCTATAGCATGTACATCGAAGAAATAGAATATTATAGTTGGTCAAAAGTTGACGTTATAAGATGCGCTGAACTACAGTTAATCTCACTCTTTTTTAGCATATTGTGTTTGACGGCATACGATGATTTTCATTGACTAACGACTTTTATTCAAAACAATGGTAACAGCAGACGATGGGATAAAAGATGCACTGCGAAAACCTCACCGCTGATTATCCGAACCAAGACACCGGCACTATCACAGGAACCATATTTTTGAGATAAATCTCTTTATCAAACTCGACGACATTGATCTTGTCAAACAGTCCCGGCACGGACGTCAAATGTGGAAAATTGCTTTCTCTACTAAACAAATTCAGCTCGTTTTTGAAGCACACAGCTCCACTTAGCCACCAATCAAAAGTCCAAAGACGAACTACCGGTATAAATTTTACGGCCTTGTCAGAACCTCTCTTGACTGACAGCAAAAATCCGTTTGAGAGTAAAAGAAACGTTTCTTTGTCTTTGTGTATAGTAAAGGCCTTCACAAAATCTCCACCAGCATTGTGTATTATTGTTGTGGTTAGGGACTTCGTTTCCAGATTGTACAATTTGACTGGTAAATTGAACGAAGACAATTCGAGCGGAAACATCAAAATGTCATTTTCGTATATACAAGTTGGAATACAATCACGACTAATGTTTAATACTAACGTGTTCAACAATCCTGGATCCACTACGCGACTTCTAGTTGCGGCGTAGCGATCGTTTGTTTTGACGCAAACAATCTTGTTATTTTCACGGAATAAAGTAAAGAGCGAATTGTGTTTCCCGCACAACTCATACAATATGGATATAGATTTATTCTCGTCTAACAAAAGGACAGTTACGAGGCGGCATTTGTGTTCAGCGAAAGGACAGTTTCTTAAGTGCCTTTCGCATATGAAGCAAAGTTTGTCACCAAGTGAAACAACAGACTTTATTTTTCTGTATCGACCCTTTAAATAATCGAGATTGAGATTAGTAAAACTTCTGTTCTCCAAATCATAGAGGTGCAGACCTCCTGAAATCGTCTCCAGAAACGCCAAGGCATTTCTCTTTCCGCTGCACTTTCTAAGAGGGGTCAATGTGGCGCTCTCTAAAGGATACTCGCCCGACTTGTATTTCAGGGCTTCTTGTATTCCTCGATAGGCTTCTGGACATTGGCTAACATAGGGGTTTTTCAGTAAACTCCTGAGGTTACTTTCTGAGGCTAAAGTAAGTTTTACTCCAGACATGAGTTTGGCGAGATAATTGAATCTATCGCCTGTCCTGCTACATTTTGTGACGTCACCAGTGTGGTCCTCATTCTTGACGTCATTGTGCTGGCCATAATTTCTGAAGCTATACCCAGCCTTGTCAGTTTCGCCAGCCTCAGCTACGTATCCTGAGTCATAAATCTGGCCAACAGAAGAAGTGACGGCAAGAGAGTGACCCTCACTGTTCTGGAGTTCATCATCCTTACTGAAGATACTCTTTTCCGTACAATCACGCTTCATACAAGCACATTGTTTGTAATTTCCGTGTGAAAGCCAGGTTAATATTGACTCCAGAACTGAGTCTTCCGTACTGACATTCAACTCGTCATCTTCAATACAAGACAACACTAAGGGAAAAGGTAAATTCAGAAACTCTTTCATATTATAAATATGCTCGTAATTTCGCTTAATAAACTTTAGTGTACCGTCTTTGATGTTTTTCGAATTGAAATCGACACCTTTTAAATAAAAGTGCCATATGTTATCAATGGATAACTTATCAATCAGAAATTGTTCTATTTTGTTAAGATATATTGCTATATCCAGACGATTGGCTGCATCCCATATCTCTTCAATGTTGTTAGCCGTCAGACCATGAACACGCTGGTGGATGAAATTTAACACAACAGCGAAAGTCTCACTTGTCATACCATGTAGCTCCACCCTCCCTTCTTTGGCCTCCTTCATGTTGCTTCTAAACAAGGCGTCGAAGTAATTTGAATTGGAACTCAGGATCTCCCGGTTGCTTTTAAACTCCTTACCGTCGACAAAGATGGTAAAATCACACGATGCTGGGTTCGGCGTAGGCGTACAAGACATGTTTAGGATTTGTTGATATCTCTGCAATCAATTCAGAACCTTCTCAGTGTCAAAATTGGTTCGATGATCTCATGTTGTACAACTGGAAATATAAATTGTCTAGGTCATTATATAGTGTGGACATGACGGTGTGTTGAGATGATAGAAATCACGACTGCTAGCTCTAAACTCTAGAGCATGGCTCCACTGATTAATTACGTACGATGGCCTGAGTCCACCCAACTTGGATAGAAATCTGACTCACGAGAAGAAAAGATTATTGGACATAGTGCTGACCACTATAATCATTAGAGCTGGGTGAAATCAGCGAACAATGTATGGTTAGTTAATTATCAGAGCTGAGTGAACTCACTGAATTCCTACAAAGTCTATCATCTAATTTTGATAATTGTGTGGACTCCATTGGGGAAGACTCGGTTTGGTGGTAGAACTTACGATTTCTAACCAGAAAATCTCAGATTTATCCAAGAGCACAGCTAGGTATGTTTGGGTACCTAACTCACGTTAGAGAAACAATGTGGCTAGGCATAGTGCTGACTGTTGTGAACACACGGACACGGATTTAGATGTGGTCAAGTGCACTATGCAACATATTAGAAGAACAATTACACAATGGTTCCAAAACAAGTGTAAATGAAACATCGGCTTGTTAAAACTAAAAGGTTTCTATACACTACTACACAACACAGACTATTCTAAATATGAATACATAAGCTAGTACCAGCAGAACACAAACTATCTAACAGTACAGAACTAACCCACACTGACCTTGTAGGTGAACTGGACTAAACTGGGACAATCACACACATTCTCACACAACTTACATAAAACGGATACTAACTGGACTGTCACAACTCACAGCACAGTTTATATACACTATATACACAACACAGACTGTTCTAAATATAAATACATACGCTAGTAAACAAATCTAGATACTGAAAAGATGTTTCAGATATAATTAATAGAAAGAAAACTATTAACCTTTATTGTCCATTACAGGGTTTAAAAAAGCATAAAGCTTTAGGGCTAGGATTTGATATAATCTGATATATTTAACATAAATATTACCTTTAGATTTTAGAACTTTTTAAGAATAAAAATTTCAGCGCAAAGAAAAAATAGTTGTTGTAAGTCACCATTAAAAATGTGCCATCCGTTCATTTTAAAAAATGTGTGCGTTGTCTTTTATATTCGCGACTAAGCAAATATTTTTAGGGACCAAATTCCTGGTGCGCAGAAGCGTAGATACTAGATCTAAATGACTTAATGTTTAATTTTTATTCATAGGACGCTCTAGACTTACTTATGAGGGGAAAGATAAATATTTTAGCCTGATCATGATAATAAAATAATTAATAAAATAAACTTATTGATGTTTACGTAAAAATGTCTAAAAATAAGATTAGGACCTCGGGATCAGTTGCTTTAGTTTCAATTTTGTTTGAAAATGCTGAACTATCGAATTACTTTTAAAGTAGGCAAAAAATACTGCAATACCGTCACAGAAACAGTTGTAGAATTATAGGTAGGAAAAGTGGAAATCTTTTTATTATTATTTAGATTGATATAGTCAGTGTGTTGTGGTGAAAGAGGATGTTATTTTAATTGATATACATAAACTACTAGGCTATATTCCATTGTAATAATAAATAAAGCTTAATTAATATCAACATTTTAATATAGGCCTAATCAATCTAGATCGACCTCTGACTATGGGGACATGTATTAACGATGTCACGTTTTGTTTCCACACCCCCCACCCACTCTCTATCGTTACCAAAAGCCAGACCTGCCACATTCCCCAACATCCTAATCCCTATTTTGTTTTTAAAGCAGCGATTTTTAGAAAATATCTAGACCTATGGGCCTTTCTAAAATTTAATGTAGGCCTATTAATAAATTATCCTTTAACAATTTATAAAACAACTCTTAATAATGCAAATAAAGGCTTAAATTCAGTTTTTTACATGAGTGTTTGAAAATGGAACCCCCCCCCCCCCGAAACAAAGGTCCCATACAAACTCAAAGTCTGATAACTTTTATGGACGACCTCTACATCATTTTGCTATTCTTTATAGGAAATTCATTAGTTAATCATACAAACCCAATTACATTTGTTTTTGTGATGGTATCTCTGTCAGTACAATTATTAAATAGTTTATGTTAACTCAACATTTCCCCTAACCTCATTTGCTATAGCTGGCTATGCTTATAGAAAACTTCTTCTCAAATAGCATATCAGGAATGCAACAGCAACAATCTTTTTCTTTTGTAATATATAAACAATTACAAAATGATCATAAACTCGCACAGCCAATAGCAACACACTACTAGGAAATAGGCAGTGATTATAGTTTGTTGTATTTGTGGTTGATGGTTAGTTATCAGCCGTATTTCTCTAAGCTTGGTCTACATTTATATGCTGGTATGGCAAGAATTGATAAAAACGGATATTCTTGATTCTTCCCTGATCATTATAATGTTTTACAGCTATAATGGATAGAGTGTTGTTTTATTTCAACACTATAGAAGATTTAAGTAATAGTTACATAATACCAAAAGTGACTGTTAAACCATAGCAGAAGATATTTTAATAATTGTTCGTTTTGAACGTGATATAATACTAAGTTGAAAATTCTAATAAAAAATAAATGTATAATTGCTTGGCACACATTGCCCTTTTATTATTATTTGTATAACTATAAGCAAGCTGTTTTGTTGGAAAATTTCAATCGTTATTTTCTTTCTAGTAATAAAATGGGATTCATATCAAAATACTGCTTTGGACTAGGTATAATATTAACAAATGATATATTATCTATTCGTTTAAACTCAAATGTAAATAAAATGCAAATTAAAGACTTATAGTGAGAATACATATTGTGAACACATTTGCTAAAGCAAAAGTTCTTGAGTTTAAATCTTAATCTTGATCCTTTAGGTCAGAGGTCTCCAAACTACGGCCCTAGGGCCGCATGCGGCCCGCGAAGTCCTCCGATTTGGCCCTCGGAGATCTTTTTATCTACGGAAAAAAATGTTTGTTCGAAAAGGCTGAGGAAAAATTCAAAACAAACTGAAAATGTAGCGTTGGGTGCAAATACCATTGAAGTAAATGTGGCCAGCTGCCCAGCAAACGACCTCCTTAAAGACAAGTTCAAATAAGGGCGGAAGAGTTTTATAAGTATTTGCCCAAGGAAGACTTTCCCAATATTAAAACATTTGCGTCAAAGTACCTTTCTAAATCGGAACAACATACAAACTTTATCAATAATGAAGTAGGCCTACGTGAAGAACAATTTGAGAACAAACTTGGACCTCGAGTGTGTTGTCCTATCCGACAGTGTTTCTTTCAGACTTTATTCTCGGGTGGGGGGCACTTGAAATTTGTGTATATATATATATATATATATATATATATATATATATATATATATATATATATATATATATATATTTATTTATTTATATATTAAAACCTTTACAGGGGGGAGGTAGACGTTCTTCGGGGGGGGGGGGAAGGTTGGAAGAAACTCTGACCCTCGAACTTATATTTAATAGTTAATGCGGCCCTCGGACTGAAAAAATAAAGACCCTTGCTTTAGGTTGTCTCTGATTTAAATTCAATACAACTCCAACTGGTACCTGACTGGTTTTGGACAGTAGAAACTGTTTCACACTTTTTGCTGACCATACAATTTATTTATATGGAGAGGTAACAAATAAAACTGAAATCTACTTTGGCACCATATACTTAAAAACAATTTTTACTTTCACAGTAAAAGTTAATTATAAAATTAAGGTACCAACTATTAGTTTTAAAATACAACAGCACACAAAATCAGTGCTGAAAATAATATAAACATAACAAAGTTTACAATTTTCTTTTTTTAATTACCATATAACTTCAGAACTAATATATTTAAAAAAAAGTTGTTCAATATGAACAAGTTTTCTTGGGTCCAACATGTATCCTTGGACTAGTTGGATCTAATAGGTATGTGTAGGCCATTTTCAGTCAAGCCTGACCACTGTTGAAGAATGCTGTAAATTAAGTCTTCGGAACTTGAGGATTCAGTGGCATGATTGTTTTTTTAAAAATGGAACTTCATCTTGACTTGTGTCTTCTCTGAATGCAGCTGTATAATCTAAAAAAAACATAACTAAATTTCATAAACTGTTAATTTAATCTCATTATGTTTAGATTTCTTCATGCCTTAATGGTAGATATAAAAATATTTGTCTGTCTTATAAAAACCATAAAGCAATGATTGGACTATTTATGTATGGGGTTTTATGGGCTATCTAATTATTACCATTTATTAAATATATAGGTCAAATAGTTTACTTTTGATTTTTAATGTAAGGAGTTTGTCAATAGGCCTTCAAAAGTGTCAAAAGTCAGGTGCCTATATATCATAAAAAAATTAATAAATGTATCAATAAAGATCTAATACTTAATACTTTAGTAGAACTAAAATAAGTTCTCTTCACTAGTAATCATACTCTTCTTTTCAGTAATTTTTACTATTATTATTAGAGGCCTAAAATTAATGCTAGACTACTAATTTAGATTAAACTTAAATTTTGGATATTATTTAATGTACTAGTCTTTAACCTATTATTTAGACTATATGTAATTTTTACAGTTTCAAATTGTAGTTAACTTTGTTTAACTTACATACTTATACTAACTACCTACGCTATCAAAGACCTACAAGACTACTAATCAGCTACTACATCTAGATCTACTGTCTACATAGGCCTACTAAGACTAAAATGAAAATGACAACAGTAAAAAATTAAACATCAGTACCATAGCCTAAATTATCCTAAATTAAATGTATTTTGTACAGATCTAGTAATTTAGTAAGTATTAACTATTAAAAGTAAATTAATATAGAACTTATTGGCCTACTAAATAATTGAGACACTAATGTCATGATTTAGCAATTATGAGGTTGTGTATGTAATTAAGTCATAGTTTTGTGCAAGAAAAATACTTTTTAACCCGATCATGCTAAGTAAAATCGTTTATTTATGTTTACCTAAAAAGTTGGAAATTTAAAAAAATACATAGGAATAAGTTTTGGACCTAGGGGTCAAGTGCATTTGTTTCCATTTAGTTTGTGTAGTTCTTAACTAGAGAGCTACTGTTAAATCTAGGCAAATACTACAATAACGACATTTACAATTTTGTTAGTATCTTTTCATTTTTGGTATTAATTCCATTTAAATCCAGGATGACATAAACAGCTAATTTACTTTTGTGTTTAGTGTGAATCATCTTTTGCGTTTGGTGTAAATAAGGGCATCTATAAAAATGTGCAATCTCAAAAATGCACAACAGAAAAATGCACAAATACAACCACACGCGTCATCACGTTCAATAGCTGCGCCATCACGGTACGTTCAATAGCTGCGCCATCACGTTCAGTAGGCGCGCAATGGTTTTTAGTCATGTAACTCTATTGTAAATAAAACATGTAAAGTACTAAAAAAATCATAAAAAACGTTTTAATAACAAGCTTTTATGTAATAATGCACTAAAAAGTAGAAAATAAATTATAGACTACTATTTAAATAACTAGAAAGAAAAGCGTGGGTGTCTTCCTTAACATTAGTAAAGGTATCCAATAGATACAAAAGTGACCCACGCTTTTCTTTATAGTTATTTAAATAGTAGTCTATAATTTATTACAAGCTTTTATTTAACTCACTTCCTCGTCAGTCTGTCGTCAGTCTGTCTAGACCGAAACGCAGGAGTGAAAATTCGGACAGTTCTACTTGACCGATACGATTCAAAGTTGGCACGTGGGTCAAGACATGAAGACAATGCAATATGAAACTAAATTTGACTTAATTGGATGCCTAATTAATTTTTTATGAATTAATTAAAATTTGGACCGAATTATTAGGCATGTCTAGCCAACCACACCACACGCGTCATCACGTTCAATAGCTGCGCCATCACGGTACGTTCAATAACTGCGCCATCACGTTCAGTAGGCGCGCAATGGTTTTTAGTCATGTAACTCTATTGTAAATAAAACATATAAAGTACTGAAAAAAAATTCATAAAAAACGTTTTAATAACAAGCTTTTATGTAATAATGCACTAAAAAGTAGAAAATAAATTATAGACTACTA